GAAGGTAACCCAAGTGGAAACTTTCAGGATGTTTTCCAATGAATTTTTCTCTTTCGCTTCAGTTTCCAAAAGTTCAGCTTCAAATTTGAAAAGTTTGTACATCGATGGTGGTCGCTTGATCTGCTAATACACTGGACCCAACGACGTTCTGACTAATAGAAATAGTTTCGGCCGCTGCAAAAGTTCAGAATTCATCCCAAACTACTCAAAAATAATTTGCGAACGTTATCGCCGTAAACTGGTTGCAACGGAGCCAATAATCACGTTGCTTGTTTAGTCTCACTCAAACTATCCAGGCCTGTTTGTTTAAAGCTGCCGCTAATTTAAGCTGAACTTGAGAAGAAAAGACACTTTGGGTGATTCGTTGGAAGCCTCTGGAAATCGCTTCGTTGATAAAACGGGAAATAAAAGCGATTATCGGGATGTATTTCGATATTTGAAACCATATACAGGGTGGATCACAGTTTCGTTCACCGCACGATTCACACGCGGGAGATTAGCATTCAAGCTGGTGTCTGGTCCACTTTGCGCACACACAATGAAGGTCGCCAATCACCATATGGCAAATGGCCAACTGAGCATCACTTTGCAATTCAAATGTCGAATGTCCGGACATTCTTCACACGCACAAGTTTGTGCAGGAGAGAACTTTCTTCGACGACAAAACGCTTTGTGTATAAAGTGCATGTGGCACCGTTTCAGTGGTGTGACCTTTCTAGCGAATATTTAAAGTGCACGCCAGTGTGGGAAAATGTCGAAATTCCTCGATTTTTCCGAAACGTTTATGGCAGGATTTAATGCATCGCTGCCGGCTGTTCGGAGAATTGGATTGCACATCAATAGAGGTGCAGGTGGTGCAGTCCGAGTGGCTGCGGGTTAAATGCCAGGCCATTTTATGGTATTTCACGACTTCCTATCTCGCAACCTTGCGTTTTCAACATTTCCCCCGGAACTATACCGGGAGCCTTAAAAGTCTCCCTCAGCCAGAGGTCTTGGTAGTTGGCGCTTGGTGCCTATAGGCGACACCGTTGCCTAATTGATGATCAAATCGAAAAATCAGGTTGTTTTATATGAAATCCGATGGCTACTCTAAGGCCTAAAGTGGACAGACCAAGGGCGGATCCCCCCTATTCAATTCTCTATCCAACGATGCCAAAACGAATTCTCTGGCTCGAATGGTTCTTGAGAAACTTCGAAAAAAGCAGCGTCATGATCAAGTGGATTTTGCAACTCAAAGAAAACCATGCAAATCTAAAACTTC